GACTCGTTTTTCCAGGCCTGTGGGAGTCATTAATTTGAACTGTTACTGGCTTCTTTGGCAACACCCATGGAATGATATGGGAATGTGAAGCTAGGATATGACCACTCTGTCAGGTAAGGACACAGAGCTGTCTCTGCTATTGACTGATTTGCTTGAGCTTCTGCATTGAAATTCAGGGTTCTCTGCACGTCATTTGTTCCCTTCCCTCAGCTTTTCTCATTGTTGCCAAATTGATAATCCTCAGTGGTGTTGTGAAGCCGCCTATCCTGGTCACAGTGAAATTCTACCCCTTTTTCATCATATTTGGTAGTACTAAAATATTCTTAATAGATAGTGGCGTGACCAGTTACTCAGAAAGAGTTGCTGTGAGGTTCACTACTAAAGCTATCACTAGATCAGTTTGCATAGTAGGGGTTTGCATGAACCCAGTGGTACAAAACACCAGGAAAAGAAGCTGAGCTCTGTAAGTGTGTTTGGATTGTCCTCCCTAGCTATGTTTTGGAGCTGGTGTTCACTGATTGTTGTGTTACACACATAGCCAGAGCCTCCATGACAGCCTCCTTCTCTCCTTGCCATTCACCCAGCTTTTGTCACTGGGCTGTCCATGCTGAGCCAGCCTGGCATTGGTCACCTCACACAAATGTTCACGTTGGTGGACTAGCACCTCCAGTAAGAGCAATCCAAGCAGACTGTACCAGCTCCTAGGAAGAAGTTCCTAGAAGGGTCTTGACATGTGCAGAGCCTCCCAGACACCATTTCTGCCTCTTTAAGGTGCTGTTTCAGCTTGGACGTGGGAAACTGGCCTTTGAAGGCATCTGAGGGTTCTTCCAAGGTAAGTAGACATAGCTGATTAGTCACACCAAGATGCTGGTGAGTCTTTGGCAAAGCTGCACAGAAATGGTGTCTCCCCCTGGCCAATGTACATCTATTTCTGGTAAGGACTGGATGTCTGAGAAAAGGTACATCCCACCACACCCACACAGCTGGACCAAATTGACAGCCCAAGATCTTCCAGCGGGCAACTTGCAACTTGGCAGCCAGAGTCTTCAGAAACTCCTTCTGGGTGGTGGGGCAGGCAGGCAGCGTGGCAGTACAGCCTTGTCCACCGTGCACTTCTCCCTCCCTCGCTCCCTCCCTTCCTTTCAGCCCTGTCCTTTCTCAATACCCAGGAAAGATTAACTCCTCTTCACACACCAGAGAAAGTTATTATCATTAATGAAGAATTAAAAGAGAGTGATTAATAAAGAGCCCTTATCTGGCCATGAGGAGGAGGCTGGACAATGGAAGGAAGATGGAGAAAATGAAAAACAATAAATATGAAGCGTAAAAGGAGGCGAGCACTGCTCCCACTTGTTAGATCGCAGCTGCATCTCCTGAGGGGGGAAGGCTCCAAATTGCTAATTACTGCCTCTGAAAAGACCTCGCTCTGATATGTTTTCTGCTGAAAGGTTCCCATTAATGAAGCAGCGATGATGCCGTTTCCCTTTGACTTGCCTTCAATTCCCTCCCTGAGCTTCCTCCCAAGCCGGGAACAATGAGGCCCTGGGAGCTGGCGGCTCCCACAGGCCTCTCGGAGACTAGGCCGGGGGCAGCCGAGTGAGGGGAGCCGAGCCGGCTGTGAAATATGGAGGGGGGAGATAAGGCAAAGACAGAGGAAAGAGGCTCACTCCCAGGAGCCCAGGGAAAATTTGCAGTTATTATGAAGGAGATGAGACAGATTAAAAGCCCTTGTGTTCTGCGCTGCCCTTTTATTTAGTGGCTTCATCTCTGAGATGAAAGAAGTTGGAAATGACTTTCTCCGCATTTTGCTGCAAGAAGCTTCACGGCACATTTTTTGACTTTATTCCTCCCTTTGTCTCTTGTCCCCTTTCTGTCTCTCTTTTTCCTTTTAACCCCTGGAAGGTTTCGCTGAGAAGTGCCATGGGACTCGGCAGAGCATTTGCTGGGGTAGAGCAATGACCCTGCTGCTGTCCCCATCCTACTGGGCTGTATGGCTCCTGCTGCCCGCCGGGGAGGGAGCCGGGCCAAGGCACTGCCACGACAAGTGGAGAGCATCCGGCCAAGCTTCCTCTCCTGCTTGCCTCAGAAATTTCCCTTACCACTGACACACCCTCTCCTGCCTCCAGGCCCAGCAGCAGTTCAGCACAGGTGACTGCAGTCTGTGGGCAGGAAAAAACCCCATCCTTACACAAAGCCCAGTGATGGTTAACAATCCATGTGGGATAAGAGTGATAAACATTTTGTATCCTTGGAGCACTTAATGAGCAAAACTAGTGCTGAAAAGTAGTTCCCATTCAGGCGACCTGCAAAGTGCACACAGAGTAAACAATTTGCCAGGGATGTAGCATGAAGTTGAATGTGAATTCAAAATTTACTTTTGCTGACCCATGTCAGGGTGAACCTTGTAAGACTGGACAGAAATACCATAAACTGCTCAAAACCAGATTATCCCAACTGCCTCATTATATTTCTTGAACTCCTATTCCAAATTTTCTGATTTTTCCCCATACACATCAGTGCTCCTTTGTGGTACCCTTTTAGTTCTTGACTCTTGAAATTGCAAGAGCACTTGCATCCTGTCTCTTGCTTTTGCCCTATCTCTCTCACAGAAAAGTGATGCTGTGTGCCAGTAAATACAATATACTGGCAGGTCAAATGCCAATATCAGGTCAAATGCTGACAACATCTGCAGAAATTTGGGTTTGAGTGTTGAATGTGGAAAAAAAATAATTAACAGGTGAAGTAAAATCTATACCAGTTGCAAAACATTTTGTCGACCTACAGAAATGGCAGAGAACCAGTTGGGAGATGAGGGGAAAATAAGAGAAATTAGAGTGGGCACCTGCTTCCATCTCCCCAGAACATCTGAATACAGGATTTCTGGTACACAATTGTTTGTCTGGTTTGTTATCCTGCCTGGAACAGCAGCCAGTATCGAGTGCTTGAAATGAAGGGGTAAAAAGCTCTGAAGTGATGTTTACAGAATAACCTTCCCATCAGGGGAGTTTCTCTCTAACCCAGACATTTTGTAGCTGTTTTATATCCTGAAGCATGAAAAAGGATTGCAGCGGTGAAACAGGATTAGATTTTAGGACGAATTTTCTCTCAGATCTGAGAGTAAAAAGAAACCCCCTGTATTGGAAATAGGAAACTGGCAGGGAAAACAAAATGCTGCCAGCAAGTAAGGTAAGTTACTGCCCCAGAAAGGGTTAAAAAACCAAAAGGACAGAATATTACAGGCAAATTGGTGCACATAAAGTAACTTTAATCAAGCCAGCTATTGGAAATGGGACAAAAGAAACCCCTACCTAATGACTGCTTTTCTTCTTTTAATATTTATTTTCCAAGGAAATAATTGAGAACTACAAGGAAATGAAAATATTATCATGACAGCTCAGACTGGCATGAAGGACTGGTTAGATAAACAGCATGAAGAAAGTTCAGCAAAGCTAAATGAAACTTATCCTATTAGGGTGTAGGAATCAATGGCAAATTCAAGGATTCAGTTATTTTTGAAGTATCTTGACAAACTAGGGAGGGTGCCAGAGGACTGAGGAAGAGCAAACACAGTGCTGGTCTTTTGTGGTGGGAGCACGGAGGCAGCAGTGGTCTTGGCAAGTACGACCCTTTCAGAGTAACTTCTCTTCCTGGCAATGTGAAAGAATAAACAGAAATGGGGGGGAAAAGTAAGAATACAAAGGACAAGAGATCTGTGAGCAATAGGCAGCAGCATATATATATAGAGAATAAACCACACTGAAATAAATCTGATTACTTTCTTTTTATTTGATTTACAAAATTAGTGAAGAGAATACCTCAAACATAATATCGATATGGGCTCTGGCAACACCTTTGATATGCTGCATTGTAAAACAGTACATGAAAAACCAGCTAGTATCGGCTTGAATGTCACTGCAACTATGTCAGTTAAGAAAAGCCCAAACACCCTTCTGAAAAGAAAAAAACCCCAAAATAAAGCAAACTCAAACAAAAAACCCACCCCCAGCCTCCACCCAAACCCAAACAAAAACAAACGAAGAAAACCCCCAAACAAAAAAACAACAAAAAGCCCAAAAAAATCCAAACAAAAAATCCCAGCAAAAAAAACCCTCGAAAACAAAACAAAACAACAACAACAAAAAAGACGAACTCAAAACCCCCTGAAGACGCATCATCAAAGACGAGAAATAAAACGGAATGTTACACAAAACTGGATGATGGCAGGTTCACACCTATCCTTATTCTTATGGCTGCTGGCGATGTCTAAATTGGCATGATGGGAAAAGAGATGCAAGCCTTACGGAGGGGGGAGTAGCACTGCGAAGTTTAATTTAGGATGCACACAACTAGCGTGGCAGCAACGAAATGGAGGAGTCCGAGTTCCAAGTTTATTTGTTGTCCATTAAGACTAAAATACGATAACCAAGGTTACGTATATGGCAAGGGCTGCCCCGCTGGCAGGTGAGGGACCCGTAATGGCTCCACCGGCGGAAGCAGGCACAGCATAAACACACAGATAAGCGTAGAGCTCGGCGGCGGGCCGCGCTCGGAGGCGGGCCGGGCGGCGGGGGGGCCGGCGCTGGCCCGGCCGGGCCGCCCAGGCTCGGCGGCGGCCCCGCCCGCAGGCGGGGCGGGCGGAGGAAGTGGCCCGGGGAGGCCGGAAGCGGCCCTGAGGAGGGGCTGGCGGAGCGGGGCGCTGGCCGGTGAGCGGGGTCGTGGGGAGGCCCGGCAAGAGGCTGCGCGTCCGGGACGGTGAGGGCAGTTCTGCCGGCTCTTCCCGGTGAAGCTGGGGAGTGTCGGGCAGAAGCAGCGGCGTCTCCTCAGAAGAGGGAGTCAGTGCGGCCGGGTCGCTGAGGACTAAGGGAGGCGGCCTGCGGCAGCGGGTAGTTCACCGGGCTGGGGGGTGCGGGTGTTTCTGAGCCCGGTGGGGAGAGAAATCCCACGCCTGCAAGGCACGGGTGGGGAGAGGGGTGTTGTGCGGTGAGGGATTTGGCCAGGACTTCGGGATTGGCACACTGACAGCCGTGAGGTGTAGGAGTGTTTTTTTTTCGGCAGTAGGAGTTGGGGCTTGGTTTCCTACACACTGTTCTAAGGAGCCCAGGGTCCCGCACGCCTTGCTTTGCTTCTGAAGTGATGCTGGCTTGCAAACTACCTGTTTTGCCATCTGTTTTACTCCCAGCTTTGGTGCTTGTCTACTTTTTGGAAGACTCAATCTGTTTATCAAGCAGGCTGACCCTTCTCTGTGGCTTTACTGACGCGGGGTAGCAAAAACAAGTTGCAGCCTTCCATACCGTTTGGGATGTGTAATTGAGCATGCTGCTTCAACACAAACGATGAACCTTAAGGCCTTTTCAGACACAGAGCACTCAGCCCAACTGCTGCAGTAGAGAGAGATCCGTGCCACCATGGCTAGAAGAGGGATTTAACTCTTGCAAAAAGAAGTGAGTGTTAGCCCAGGAAGTGTCAGTTGTCCTGCATCGGGTCCTCCCAGGTAACTACAAAGTAAGTGTAACTCCATTAATGTTACAAAGGTTACAGCATATTACAGTCCGTTGATGTGTTGGTAGCAGTATTTATGTCTAGTACTAATTGTTTGTTGTCATTTTTAGTAGGCATTGCCAATGGATGAACTGGTGCACGACTTGGCCTCAGCTTTAGAGCAGACTTCAGAGCAAAACAAACTGGATGAGCTATGGGAAGAGATGGCCCTGAGCCCACGGCAGCAGCGACGTCAGCTTCGCAAGAGACGGGGTCGTAAACGACGCTCAGACTTCACACATCAGGCAGAACATGCCTGCTGCTACAGCGAGGCCTCAGAGTCGAGCTTGGACGAAGCTGTCAAGGATTGCCGTGAAGTGCTGACAGCTAATTTCAGTGACTCTGATGACATGGCAGTCGTCAAACGACATCCAGCTCTTAGTGCCACCCTGAGGAGCAAACAACACTTGTGGCATGAGTCAGACTCCTTTACAGAGAATGCACCCTGTCGACCTCTCAGGCGCCGACGGAAAGTCAAACGTGTGACATCGGAGGTGGCTGCCAGTCTCCAGCAAAAGCTCAGGGTGTCAGAGTGGAACTATGAGAGGGGCTGCAGGTTCAAGTCAGCCAAGAAACAGCGTCTTTCGCGCTGGAAAGAGAATGCCCCTTGGACATCATCCAGTCATGGCCTTTGTGAATCAGGAGAGAACAGGCCCTTCCTCAGCAACGGGGGAAGGAAGGAGCGGATGGAGTGTGAAGCTGATGATCAGAAGCAGGGCTCAGATGAAAACATGTCGGAATGGTGAGATCTCAGTTTCTTCCCCACGCTAATCAGATGGCCACCTTGCTTGTAGCTGCTTGTAAATGCTGTGCTTTGCTTTTTGAAGTTCTTAAAATTATTCAGTGCTGCTCTCTTTTTGAAGATGAGAAATATCTCAGCTGCTTCTAAACTGTAGATTTTTTCCAAGTCTTTCCTGTCAGTACTGTGTGATGACCCAGAATGCTCCCTTGAAAAGTTGGCAAGCTGGTAGGTTTCTGGCTCCTGTTACACAAGGAGTCCTCTGAAATGTCTGTGTCCTTGCAGCTACAACGTAGCATGCTTGTGGCCTATGGTTTGGGGAGTAAACCCACGGCTGGCACTTGTGTTGCATGATTGATATGAACTGATCTCAGTTTCTTGTTTTAACATTTACTATGAGTAGTAATAGATAACAGATCAGATCTCCCATCATTACTGCTCGCCCTCTGTGCAGGTACTGTGTGAACCTCAGTCTAACCTTGCTTGCGGTTCTACATTTCTGCTCTTGATCAGATCATCAAAGCCTAGCTATGGGGAGAATGTGGTGAGATGATGAAGTTGAGAGGAACTTATGTCACTTACAGGATAAGCCTGTGCAAGCAGTGGAGTCTGATGTCTTGATGTCCAGTTTTGGAGAACTTAGATGAATTTGTGGCAGAATCAAATACAAGGAATTAAAACGAGACATGTAAATGTCATGGTCTAAATTTGTGTTGCCCTCGGGAATTTTTTTCCTCAAGTGTGATTTTTATTCTCTCTGTGGAAGGTTTGGGATCATAAAACTGCTTCTGTCCGAAGAGATTTTTCAGGTTAGAAAAGAGGTAACTACTAAGAATCAAATGGAGGAAATTTCTTAATGAATGGCTTTCAAAAAGCAAATGCGATTGCTGATTTTCTCATTATCATTGTGTAAGAACAGCAGACATTGAGGAGACATTTAAAACAAACAAAAAGTATTCTTTTTCGTGAAACATGAGGTCTGGCACTCTACTGCAGGACATTTTAGAGGTCGAAATTGAAATATGTTCAAAAGGGAGATGTGAAGCATAGATATATTAGGGGCTGTTAAACATTGCAGTCCAGATGAAAGATCCCACTCAGAAAGTCTTTAAATTGCTGACTTCTAAAAGCTAGAGGAACATACAGAGAAGTCTGCATTTGTCATGTTCTCGTGTTCTTTTCTCAAAGCACTGTAATAGTCACTATGAGAGGGGACTGGATTTGGAAAGTCTAACTCTTTGATACAGTATGATTGTTCATATGTTGAGGTTCAATTAAGTGTTGTGACTGTCTAGCTCCTGCAGTTTGTCAGAGTGGAGAGGTGGCACTTCATTATTTAACTGCTTTGTGGATAATAGCTGGAATTGCAAACTTCTCAGTGCTGCTGTGAAAAGTTTAGGTTATAGTAAGCCCGCCCTGTGGTCCAGGGAACCACTATTGCATTTTTACTGGGTCAGTTGTGATTTGTAGCATGTAACTTTTACAGTGTGGTCACTTTTTTCTTTTAAGAGTGGCTATTGCTAAAAAGTGGTTGTGAAGAGGGGCTTTACGAGAAACTTGTGGATGGAAACTTTGTTACTAGTTGTTAGTTTTATCTTCTCGGAGCTGTTTGCTAGTAGTCCAGGAAAAGAAGTGTGCTAAGTAGGTCCTGAACAGTGCACGTCAGTGGTGATGGACTGAGAGATACCCTTACTAGATGTGGCAGGGATGGACAGTGTTCTTTGAGTTGGGTTTTTTTAACACCAGTCAGAGTCTGCTCAATCATGTTAAACTTGAACTTAAACCAGCAGGCTTTCATCCAGCCTTTATTTGTGCCAGCCTTGGAAAGAGTAAATAAAGAGCTGTGTCCAGACTGCTACTTGAGGACCATGCTGGGAGATGGCTTTGTGTTGTCTCAGTTGTCCCTTGCTCTCAGACTCATTATTGTGCAAGTGTATGCATCAAATGACACTTACCATCTGCTGCCAAATCCTTGGGATTCTCTCTGGAAAGCTAGTGCTTGGAATATTTGACCTCTCCAACACGACACGTGTGATCTGTGCTGTGACTCACTAGGGAGGGCCACAGTTGGAGGGAGGAATACATACAGCCCTCTTCAGTGCGGAGTATCCCTCACAGCAGTGCAGGATCATGCTTTGGTCTCCGCTGCTCTAAATATAGCATTTGCTGCTAGCAGCACAGTCAAACTGGCTGTGGTTGCCTCACTCCCACTGTGCTCTAGCTGTTTTTTCTGGTACAGTAAGAGAAGTACTTTTCACAGATGTATGACAAGGGCATATCCTGAGGAAGGGAGAAGAAAACTGGATGCCTGAGAGAGCAAATGGTGTGGTTGTCATCACAAGCTGATGGGAGGAAAGGTGACTGATGCTGCTTGTGGGACTTGGAAACAATCTGTGGTGGTCTGGTGATTTACAAAACTTTCATACTGAACTGGTTTCACTACTGTTCACTCCTCTAACAGTAGGGAATGTGACAAAATGAAACGGGTTTTCAGGCAAACTAAGTTGTGTATTCAGAATGGATTTTTTAACCTTATTTTTCCACCCCTACACTGACAATCTGTTTGGTTTGTTACACAGGAATGAATCTGTAAATGCAGAAATATCCAGTATGTTATTTGCTTTCTAGAAGGCTTCTTATCCTAAGTCAGGTCAAAGACCTGTTTATTCAGTTGGTAAACTCCCATTACTGAGAAAGTCTTGGATATGTGTTCTTAATGAGGAAATGTTTTTTTTTTCTATCTTGCTTGTGGGACTATGTCCAGTCCTTTGCTGGAGGAAGATGAGCTGCAATAATGTGATTCAAGTGTGCATGTAATGAAATCTTTGAAATTTTTACCATGTTTACCAAACATGGCAAAAGGTGAACATAAATTGAGTGAAGGATGGATGTGCAGGAACATAAGGACACGATGATGGTTCTGAATTGGGTAATGACATGACCTAATGCCTAATCTATGAATAATTGTGGAAACAACAAAGGAAACAAGTGGTTTTAGTTTAAGCAGTCATTTGTATATTTGTACAAAGGTGACAATTAGCTGCTAAGACTGTTGGAAGTAACATGCCTTTCTGTTCCTAAATGTTTTGAGATTCCCTGCAGCCGTAAATAAACAAAGGCAAATTATATATTGAGTGCTGAAGTTTTTTCTCTTGTTGATCTAAGCTGATTACTTCCAGAATGGTCTGGGTTTGGGCAGAACAAACTATAGTATAAGAGCTCTTTAAAAATCTCTTTGAGTACTGTATTTACTTGTGAAAGATATGCAGTTGGTCTCATATGTTTTCAAGTAGCAAAACTCCTACCATGACTTTTTCAAATCTCTGATTCTACTGCCCCACTAATTTCATTGACTTAATGCTGATGTATTTGTTGTGCTTCAACCTGAATAGACAGCTCGGCTCCATAAAGCCACCTGCTCACTTCCCTGCAGGGATGAGGGAGAAAAATGGAAGAGTAAAAGTGAGAAAACTCTCAAATTTAGGTAAAGTTGGTTTAGTAGCTAAAGCAAAAGCTGTGTGTGCAAGCAAAGCAAATTAAGGAATTCACTACATCCTATCGGCAGGCAGGTGTTCAGCCATCTCCAGGAATGCAGAAGTCCATAATTTGTAACATTATTTGGGAACACAGACGCCACAACTCCAAATGTCCCTGGCTTCATTCTTCTTTTTCCCAGCTTTTATTGATAAGCATGACATTATATGATGTAGAATATCACTGTGGTCAGTCAGGGTCAGTTGTCCAGCCTGTGTACCCTCACATCTTCTTGTGCACCCCAGCTTGTTTGCTGGCAGGGCAGTGTGAAACAGCCTTGTCACTGTGCAAGCACTGGTCAGCAATAACTAAAACATCTCTGTGTTGTCAACACTGGTCACAAATCCAAAATATAGAACCAAAGTGCTACTATGAGAAAAATTTAACTCTGTGCCAGCCAAAACCAGTACAATGTTCTGGCCCGAGAATGTGACCATCGCTCATCCTGAATGTGCAGTCAAGTTCCTTTACCCTTTGGAAGGGAGCTACTTTGATGACAGTCTGCAGTTGTATTCATGAGTTGGCTAAGCTGATGAATTGGAGGCCAGTCTCTCCATAAAAGAAAAAAATTCCTCTCTCGGAAGGCAAGTGACAAAGACAGAGTGTTCCGCTTCCCCTCCTTCTCCAGCCCAGCCTGACCTTCTGCAGCCCCTCGGTGCCTCTTGTTTTCTTATTTTTATAGAAAATCAATATCCCTCCTGACACAAACAATAGCTCAGGCAGAAGAATAAATGGGGGAAACCTGAGATCTCTGTCCATCACCTCTCAGTTTAACTCCCCCAAACTCTTTAATTATAAGCATGCTTTGCTCCAGGTGTTTGCGACAGTGAAATTGCTAAATGAGGACCATTTTAACCAAAGATTGGGTGATCAATAACACTCTGTAGCAGTAGCTTGTCGGATCAATAGCATTCATTATTTCATGGTTAAGGTAAGTAGCCTCCTTTGCAAGTGGAGGTCATTAATCAGTGCTTACTGGACCTGCAGAAAGGCCTGCATAGGAGTCTAGTTTGTGTTCAGCCCTGCAGTGTAGAAGGAGTAGTGAAGAGGGTGAAATCCCTGAAAGTTTTTTACTGTAAAGCACTGGCAGTGATGCTTATCTATAAGGAACTAAAGAGCTTTCAGTGCAACAAGATGCTTAAAAGACTCTTCATATGACCCGGATTCTTGTCAATGCTTTTTCCTTTCTCAGACACTTTTCCTCTGAGGATGCTAAAACCCTTATGAAGCAATCACTTGGTCCTTGCATCTGCAGCTTGTGAGGATTGTTTATCCAAGCTATCAGAAGGGAAAACAGGCATACTAGGAGATTGGCCCAGAGTCATACAGTGGGTTGGTAGGAGAGCTTGGGATGAAACAATTACTTCATGGCTCTCAGTCCTTGGCCTTAATTGCTGTGTTGTATATGTGGGAGGATGAATGCATGGCCAAGCTTTGTAATGGATTAATTTAGAATTTGATATTAACTTACATGCTGAAATGCTTTACAGATGGTTCATCCTTTAAGTATAAATGGCCTTTATGAAGATGCAGGGTTTTAGATATCCAGCATGATGAGTCGACTTGGCTGTACTTTAAAGAGTGCATTTTCTAAGAACAACAATCTGCTCACAAAATAGAGTTTTATTCTGTGCCTGCAGTTCTTTGGAGTGGCATATTTTGTGGTCCCTCATCATTCAGCCTTGTAAATCAAGGGGTTTCCAGTTGATACTGGTCTCTAGTATGATCTGGTTTCCCTGGAGAAGAGGCATCCAGAGATACTTTCAAACAGCCTTCCCTGACTGGAGACTGATTCTAGTGCTGACTTAGACCTGCTATTCACATCTAAGGTCTTAGTGCTCAGGGAGTAGGCAGTAGTTTCTGCTTATCCTAGTATCTTTCAGCTAAATCAGACAAAGGATTGCCTGAAGTGTCCAAGGAATGATTTCAAGTCAACATTAAAGCTTTCAGATGCTTGGGACTGACATGAGCATGTATTTCTGCTACAGATATTCATCTAGCTTTGCAGTCAATTAATGGCTTTCTACACGTTAATTTCTAGCTTTATTCTTTTGTTCAAGAATGAAATCTCCTCTAACTGCTTCAGCAAATGCAAAGCATGCTATGACAAGGTTGTGTTCAGCAGCAGTAGCAAGTCATGCTGTGCTAAGGTATTTAACTGGAGAGTTGTAGATGTCACAGCTGCTCTTTATTCCATATAAAATAAAAGTTGGAGGGTAGGGGGAGGCTGTTTGTGTGACAGTGTAACATTTTTGAGGAAAAGGAATCTGCAGTAGAAAACTTAAGGAGGTTTTCAGTAGCTGTTAAGTGACGGAAGGACAGAGGTTTTTAACTGCGCTTAATTTCCTGGTGAGTATTCCAGACGATGCCATAGTTAGGTTATTAATTCTAGTTAATTCTATTAATTCAGGCAAATGCCACTTTATTAATTACTTCTTGATAACTTAGAACTAAACTAGAGGCAGGATTCTACTCTTTTTCAAGTGATGCAGTATTGATAAGTTTTAACGGAAAGCAGTTACGTTCTGTTATAGAACCAGTCATGTATCTGAAATTCAATTTTTGGGAGACATGTAAAACATTTTGGTCTTGGAGAAGCTAGTAAAATGTAGTAGAGTGGTTTTTGTATTGTACCTGTTGCAATTGTAACCATGTTTTTTTTTTTTCTCTGTTTTTGTTCCAGTGAAACCAGCAGTGTTTGCAGCAGCAGTGATACTGGCCTGTTCACCAATGATGAAGGCCGCCAAGGTAACAAGCCTCCTGTGATTTTCCTCATGTGCTGCTAGGGAGTTTCTTACTTTCTTTAGAAATGCAAAGAAAGATCTATGTTTGAAGAGAGAGAGAGAGGGATTTGTGTGAGGAAAAACCAGTGGCAGGGAGTGGCTAGAAGTTAAGAAATGAGGTGAGGGCTACAAATATATGATTTTCATAACACTACATTTTTCCTAATGAAATACTTTGTATATTGGATCCATAATATTTGCTGTATAAGAAGCTATTTTTGTAGAAAGGCACAGAAATACAAGAAGAATTTGAGAACTTTACATGATGAAAAAGCACAGCTTATGATTGTTTCTGTAGGTGTTTTAAGTGTTGTCTATATACCATTAGTGCCTGAATCTGTTAGTTGTTTTCTCTACAAGCAGGAAGAGAAGATGAGAAAAAGTGACTTTAGACTGACAAGTCACCTAATAGACTGTGCTAAGAAGATGATGCTAACACGTGATAGGTTTTATTTCTTTAAATATGTGTTCCTCCCTTGCTCTTGTGTGCATTAGTTGAACGTGGTATTTTCAATTTCAGTGGTAGAAATGGTATCTTAGGAGTTTTGAGTGTGAAGTGCAATCTGGTTTTATTTATCAGCCGCAGTTCACATTGTTCATTTGGTGAGGGTACGGCAGAAGTAAGTGTGAAATAGGTTGTAGTAGGCACATAGGCATTGAGGACTATTACATTTGGAGCATGTGGAATGTGACCCTAGAGACCTGCAATTCTGTGCACTCTGATTCTGTCACATTTCACAAGCTAAGATTTGGATGAGGTCTCTTCTGGGAATATATGAGTGCTAAAGGAAGTAGCACCAGTAGCTCAATAGAATATGCTGCTTCCACTAGCTTGTTAATGGCCCAGGTACCTGTGTGAAGCAGCACAATGATAGCAAACATGCTTATGTGTTTTTTGATAGTATTTTAGGCTGTAGGTCTAATGTGTGATCTTAGGGGAATATAAAACTTTCCTTAAGAGTAGGGATTTCAAATATCAGCTTTGACCATTGCTGAAAAATAACTCTTTCCAGACTCTGGTTCTTGAAAGGCAACAGAAAAGTAGAATCTTTTGCCCTCTTTTTTACTGATGATTGTCCAGGGGGAGCTGAAATTAGTGAGCACTTGTGTATCAGATGGTGAAGCAGAGTGGTGACTGAAGTGTTTTACTTCATCACCTGAGACAAGATTGATGGAGACTGGGTAGTGTGTATGCATACTTTTCTATATGCTTGCCCTATATACTTGCCCTGATTTTTTACCCTGTTTTAGACGTTAATTTTTGGCTGCTACTAGAAGTAGGATGCTTAATATACAGGAACATGTAGAAATATGACTTAGATAAATTAATAAAGTCCAATTACAGCCTTCCCTGTCTAGGTAAGAGAAGAAGTTTGACATCCTTGTCATCAAGTCTCTCTCTGATAGCTTTCAGGCCAAGAAGATTTAGCTTACAGTTACATTAAAATGGTTAAAAATATTGTTGCACTTTCAGAATAAATAAAAAATATCTATTTTTCCTTTTTTTTTCTTGACAATTCTTAGTCATAAAGTAAATAAAAAAGCCAACAGCTTTCCATGTCAATGAGATGGAGAGAGCACAAAAAAATTTTTTTTGGTCACAGATCATCACCTTATAGTTTTCCAGCACAGTTCTAGGCTGAATAATGGGAAATTTAAGCTGGCAGCATTCTTAAATAAATGCAGTTTTTTCCCCTCCTTTTGAGGTTACATCATGTATTATTTGTGCTGTTGCTTATTAAATAAATTGTCTTCGCAATTGCACATACCAGCACACTTCTGTGAGCAGAGAATGATCCTAGTTTGATTGTACGATGAGGTTTTTTTGGTTTTATATTTGTTAAATGCATTGGGATCTCTCACAGTGAAAATTACTGGATATTAGCATATGATGCTGATCATTAAAGTTTGTCTTGAAAATAGTGATTTGAGATATGACGGGGCACTATGCTCATAGACCTAAATTTATAGGAGTAGTTTTGCACGAATTATGATCTCTTAGAAGAACTATCCAATGTTACTTAGTTTTAATTTACTATGAAGTGGAGATGGGACTTTTATATTTTAAGATATAACTGGTAGGTCAGCTTGATACATGACAGAAAAAACAATGTCAGAGCTTTGGGGTGAAGTCTGGCTTCAACAGTCCTGCCTGTTGCTGATTAGAGTTGGTTTTGTGCGTTGCTTCTTCTGTTATGTGCAAGATTGCAGCATTCTTATTATGATGAGTTTTTTTACTTTCTTGTATTCTTGTTTTGGGTTTTTTTTATTTTTTTTTCTTTTTTTAAATTTTATTTCCCAGCAAGATGTGTGAGTAGGCATAATGGACTTTGGTCAGGAATAATGTAATTCAGTGAGGAAAGGAGAGTAAGTGGGGATGCTTGAGTTGAGACTTAATGATAATAGGCAAATGAGAATTTTCCCTAAGGTAGGTGTGTTAGTTTTTTAAGGCAAGATGAAGCACCTTGCAATTACATGGACTGTTTGTGGGTTGGGCTACTGAAATGCTATGTGTGCCCGGTTCTTTTTTTTTCATATGCTGCTCATGTGCTACTGCTCTTGGGAATTTCTGACCAGACAGATTTACCATTGAACAGTGTCTGATGCAGTTCAGTTTTAGACTGCAACTGCATTAACTACAGCGACCCAGCTCCATTGAGACTTTGGTCATGACTTCTGTTGCTGCTGCCTTAGTTTTGCAGAGGGTTTGTAGTTCTGAGAGATTCTAAGAAATTTTGATTGAGAGCAACTCACAGCATGGTTACTACTTAGACCGAGTGACCATTTCTGTTACGTGTTAGGTTATGCGTCTTAGCTGCTGTCTTAGGAGACTAGGGGTCTTTCTCATCAGTATGTTTCTTTTGCTTACTCTGTGAGTCTGGTCTTCCCCTCTTGTGAAGTCTCTCCTGTGACAGCCTATAACATGTGCCAAATGATTGGCCTCTACCGGTGTCACAGTAATTACTTCAGAGAAAGAGTTCTGCATAAGACATCACACAACGTTGAACTAAGGTTGATGAGATGCAGTAGCAACAGAGTGCTAAACCTGCCTTAGGCAGGTCTATAAAGAGGCTTTGTTCTATAGGGAAATTCTGGAGACTGATGAGTTGGATAGTTTAAAGCATTTAGTGAGGCCCCGTAGTTACTGAGAATCATTGAAACAGAATACAAATATAAGGCTCTTCAAGAACGAATTCCTAATGAGACTTCAGCTGTTTCACATTCAGGTATGCCTACTTGTATTTTGAGGGACTGTCACAGGCTACATCGATGTTATTTGTGGCTAATTCCATCCTATTTCTTTAGGAGATGATGAGCAAAGTGATTGGTTTTATGAAGGAGAGTGTGTTCCAGGATTCACTGTCCCCAACCTCCTTGCCAAGTGGGGAGCTGATCACCGATCTGAAGTGGAGAGGATTGACTCAGGCCTGGACAAACTCTCTGTTTCCACCTTCCTTTTGCCCTCACGGCCAGCTCAGAGAGGTGAGGTCCATAAGGAACAGTGTTTGAGAACTTTTGATATGATGGCAAGAGTAGATTCTGTTCATAGGTGTTGCATTTAAACTGTATTGGTGATCTGTTTGGGGTTTGTTTTTTTTACGATCCAGTTAAGAAAAAGCTGTACTATTGGTGAGTTTACTGAAATAGTCATACCAGCTGCCCACTGAGAGTCTTCCTTTTTTTAAAAGTAAGGATTTTATTTGATTTGTGAATAAATTGCCATATCTACATCTTTGAGACTGGAAAAACAAGAGACAGAGGATATGATTTGATTACTGAACTAAGGAGTTTCCCTGGTGGCTTTGTCAGGAAGAATCTTCTGTGTTCATTGCTCAGTTTTTCTGCAATTGGTTTTCAGGATTTCATGCTCGCCTGAATCGCCTTCCCGGAGCTGCTGCTCGTTGTCTCCGTAAAGGTCGGAGGAGGCTGGTTAGCAAGGTATGCCCTTTTGAAAGACGGTAATTTTGTATTTCAAATTCTGATTAGTCCTGATGTACTATTCTAAGATACCATGTAAATTGTTTTCTGCAGAAGCTGGTCCTGTATATTTTTTGTTTCATGTATTGTTTGATTTGTTTAACTGCTTTGACTGTCAGGAGATGATTGAGTGACTAAGTGTATTTTAAGGCACATTTGGACTGGCAAAGACAGCTGATCAGTGCTGAAAGCAGTATGAAAGGAGGCCTGAAGAAGAATGACAGGGAGCATAAATATCAAGAAGATTTAGACAGAACGTAGGGGAAAATGATGATGGCATGAGACCTGTGCATGCTCATCTGAGACTACAAGGGCAGAGAGGTACCTCAAAAGTGAAGGAAGGCCAAATTTTATATAGGGAAGAAGACTGATATGAATGGCAGCAAAGGAAGGTGGTTTTAGCACTTGCATTTTTAATGGGAAGACAGGAGAGTAAAAAGGTATATGCAGTAAATGCAGACAAAGCTGCCCAAAGTTATTGACTAGTTCGATTATATGGAAGGCAAACACTGAACAAAATATCACTCCTTTTTCTGATAGAACAAACAATACTTTGCAGATGTCTTGTCTTTTTAAAAGGGAGGGCTACACCTGGTTGGGTCTGCATCATGGAGTATTGAGCGCTGCTGTTTGTTGTAAAAGATGATTCTGAGAAGGAAGGTGTTGCCTCTGTTTGGCTTTTCTTTTTATTGTGATGTGCTCTGTGCTTTTGAAAACGTTGGCATAAGTTCTGAACTGGCTGGCCGTAGTCTGCTAACAAGGTGTGTTAGGGAGGCCTGGAGTCTAGAGGAGTGTGACAGCTGCCTTCTGTTCAGTCATACTTGAAAGATCCTTGTCTGCCCCTTCTTTCTTCCACTCACCTTGCTTAATTGTAACCGGCATTCAAAATATGAATCCTCAGCTGGCAAGAAACTGACTACGTAGGGTTCCTGAGGCCACCTGCAAGTGACTGGGCCTGGCAGCATACCTCTAATGATCCAAATGAGAAGGATAATATTTACTTGTTTAATTCATCTTCATCACCTTAAAGGGATCTTTGTCATTTGCAGCGGAGGTCACTGCTCCCCCTTCCCCATCTCTCTCGAAATTGTAATCATAAATAATGAGTTTCATTCAGAGCTCCCCGCCAGCGAGCTGCTAATTACCAAAAGTACGGCTTGTAATTTACACAGTAATAAACCGTAAATTTAAACATTATGGCACTTTAAGTTAATAATTTTCCTGCTGTAACAAATAGGCCATCTTTCACCCCTGCTGCTACAACTGCCCCCAAACTTTGAGTGTATTTTGCCTGTATACCTGGCACAAATGAACCTTACCTGTGAAAGACTTTTGCGCTCATCTTCAGCCCCCTGCTGAAAAGTATACTCCTTTCTTGGAGGCAGTTGCTATGCAGATGTGAACAGCTGGTGCTTCAGGCTGTGTGTGCCAGCATCGAGCACGTACACAGGGCAGTATCTTGCAGGAAGCACCATGCTCCCAGAGCAAGTCCATTCTCCTAGGACCCACCTTTTCTTTAGTTGCTAGAGGTCCTGCTGCTGAATTGCTGCTTTCAGAAAGGGCAAAAGCATCATGCTTTCACTCTTTTAGTTTATTCATTGGTGGTTGGTGAATCCCCACTGTTAATGGAACAGTGTAGTGTCCTATCTCAGCCTGTTTCTAGCCCAACTGACCCCAGTAACATGGAAAGAAACATTTCCCAGCCATCTCCCCTGCTCTCATGCATCCTTGTGCTGCATACTTTGTTCTAGTCCAGTTTATGGTATGCTCCTCTGCAAGCAAATATCATCACTAAAAATAATAAACAAGGCTCATAAATAAAATTGAATTATTTTCTGCCATTCTAATTAATTAAATCATCTCAGATGAAATTCTAAAAGAAAGGAGTGGATATGTTTAGCTGAGAAGTGGGCTCAGTGACCCAAGGGAGTAAGATTTGTTCTTACTGGCGGCAGCAAGCTATTCTCTGCTCACTGTGTCAGAGTTTGCAACCTTTTGCCTGTCTTTGTGTTTCAGGAGACCTCCATGAGCACTCTGGGCACCGAGAGGCTGGGTCATATTGTTAATGATCCGCGCCAGAAAGAGTAAGGCCCTTGAGCTATTGTACATAACTTTGGGAGGGGAAGAAGAGCTATAGGATCCTCTTCCCTTCTGGGGGTGAAGGACATGAAGAGCTGGGTGGACACTTAAGCATAACCTGTGGAATGGGAGACAGTGTTGTACTGATGGCTTCTCTGTTTTCTTACTTGTAATTGCTGACTTCCCCTTTGTTTTATATATATATATATATATATATATATATATATATGTTTATATAAAGCTGCCCCAGTGTGTGGATGCTATTCGAATGCCCTTTTTTTACAGTCAACTTTTTTTTCACCTTCCCTTATAGTGTGCTATTGCAGTAACTGCAGATCTTTTGGACATTAAGAGCCCCATATGTTCATTTTTTAAAATGCTTCTTTGTGGAACTGTACTATGGACGCATACCCAGACTGCAGAAATGATGCTGACAAGGCAGCTATGAAATTACTTTTTCTTTCTTTGGTGTTATGTCTCCTTCCCCTATTAGTGTTTCTAAATTGTAGTCAGCACTGGAAATAGTCATGATGCTTATCCTTTGGCATCTCCCTAATGTTGTTCTAGGGAACGGGTAGGTAAAGATGGCACATCTTGACTGTAGTGCAGTGGGTCCAGCCTTCACCAGCTGTTGATACCTAATTTTCTTCTTAGGATCTGAAATTTGTTGTTTTTAATATGACTCCTGATGATGTTTAATCTTTTTCCTTCTCCCTCCATCTGTGTTCTTCCCTTCCCCTTCTCATCTCATCTCCAACCCTTTTCCCCCCCCCCATGTTTGTTCCTTGGCATTGCTCCCACCTGTCCTTTTGACTCTGCCTCCTTCCAGTTTTTGGTTACCATCCATGGGAAAGAGAGATCGCAACCAGGTAAGGTCACTCTGCTTTTTCTTTTTTTATTTTCTTGGTTTTCTTCTCTCTAGAAAGAGCACAATGCTGGCTTCTGATTTCCCACACACTGTTGCCTATGCACTTGAGGTAAGGCAGTCCTGTCCCTTCTCATTTTGTTAACTGATGTCTTCTGAGCTTTGAAGACAACCCATTTCTCAGGCATTGTATTGTCTATTTAAACTGAATAGCTCGGGAACTCCTTTTATTTATCTCCCTGTTTCAGGTTAGTGTAGGCCATCCTTTCTAACAGTGAGTGGGAGGGGAAAATGCCTCTTGACAGGAGGAGCTTTGGCTTCTCAAAATTCCATAAGAATTGGAACATTTTTCTCTTTTTAAGTGCTTTGTTTTGCCTTGTTTGGCTGAGGCTTCTACCTGCCAGTCTCATCCACAGAGAAGGGAAAAAATGGTGAGCTTAAATTATGTAGTTAAATAACAGCTGTAACAGGAAAATATAAGAGGTGATAAGCAAGAGAAACAAGCATTCTTGTAATTGAAACTCTTGTGTGTGCTCTTTTATATTCTCCAGTAAGTCTTTCTTAGCTTCATTGCTAGGAGTTTTTTTTTCACTCTAAGATATAAAAGCTCAGGTTCTTAATAGCTAAGATCAAAAGAACCACTCTTCCATTTGAGCAGTCATACTGTAGCAGTGCTTCTGGCCATGCACACTCCTTTCTATTCCTATGCGAGTTGTTTTATGGTTGGTGAGCAGTAGGGATAAATTTTTTTTACTTTTCAGGTGACTAAAAATGCATATATGGCAAGAAATAATTTTCAGGCCTTTGTGCAGTTGTGTATTTTCCCTTAGTGAGAACAATTTACAGATTACTTTTATATTGCTAAAGATAAGAGTAACTACATAAGATTTAAAATGACCAAAAGTAAGTAACTTTTGTTTGTCTTAAATGAACTTGAATCAGCCATTCCAGTGAGAGACCGCTCCTGGTGATTCTCCTTTCTGTGCAGTTGCAATGTTGCTTCACTGACAGTAAATGAGCAGTCACACTTGAGGAGGATCTCCCTGATAGCAGCAGCTTTTTGGTGCATCTTCTTTCTCAGAAAGGTGGAGGGTAAAGGCCTAGTACTGAGTTCTGAAGTTACAGATAGTTTGTATAATGAGTCCTGCTACAGGTATGGATTGTTCCTTTATCCTTATTTAAAAATGCATCAGTGATCCTAGTAATGCAAAAAAAGTGTTCTGGAGATTGGTGTAGCACTTTGCAAAGCGGATGGAAATTCATTTCCCGCTTGAGGTGTGAATTATAAATAAAGAGGAAATGCTGAATGGAAGTATAAAGCAGGTACCCCAGAGAAACTGCCAGTCTAAAGCTTCTATTTACATATTGAGCAAAGTTTGTTCCATGCATCGATTGACCAGATTATTCCATTTCTGTCCTGTCCATTAAAAATCCTGACCATTTGCATCTTCTACAACAAGCTGTCTTGTTCAGGTTTGATGTCCTCAAGATTTTTCTAATGTATGTCTAACGGAGTATTTTAGATTAGCCTGACCATGCATTGTTTCAAAAATTTGTTTTAAGCAGTTTGCAAATTCAGCTTATGAGTTTGGAGGGGTGTGGAAGGAGCAACTCATTTGCCAGGGAATTAATTGGGTGCTCACTGTGAACTTAACCTGGTGGATCTGAGTCTTCTAGAGGTCTGTTTCAGTGATACACGCAACCCTTGGGAGTACAGGAACTGCTCTGTGGAAAGTTCTGTGCTTACACAATTCATAACAGTGACTTTTTTCTCTGCAATGTGAAGGTAAACAAGAGGCTTTCTGAAAGAGAAGCAGACTTTTTTCTCATAGCATGCAGCAACAGAGCACTTATGCTCTTAGTCAACCAGTGTTTGTAATAATGCAAGTTGGAAGAGGAGTGTGCTGAGGCTGTCTGTATTCAGAAGGTGGTTATGAGATTTGCTGTTTCACCCTTTATTTTAGCGTTTTGTCTGAAGTGAGAGTCTGTTCTCATCGAGTCTTACCCTTTGAGGTGTCAGAAAGGTGGTCTTATACTGTGTGAACAGCTAAAGGTCTCCTTATACTGCATGAACAGAACAGATCTGAGGAGCTTTATCTGGACACTATTTCTTTAATGCTTTGCTTAAATAAAATCTCTTGACTTTCCAGTTCAATCCATTATCTCCTCTGTACTCTCTGGATGTGCTTGCTGATGCTTCCCACCGAAGATGCTCGCCAGCACACTGCACTGCCAGGTAACTCCCTTGCTCTGCTCTCTTGGGGTTGTCTCACTTCCTTCTTCTGGATGTCTTCAGTAGTACTGTGTGATCTGAACAGTACTCACGGACCTGTAACTTAACACACTTTTCCCTTGGAAGTCTGTGTCCAAACTTAGCACAAAATGTAGCAATGCAGTTTATATGAGAGTTTCAATGAACTAAGTGCTTACAGTGTATGAAACAGTGTATGACAGGCAAAATATACTGTTCCTCTAGAAATAATTGCAATGTATTCTGAAGTATGCGATGAGTTGCTGCAAATCTGTTTTAGAGGTACAAATGGACATAGTATCATTGCCCACTATTGAAATTGGAACAAGATGAGAGGGAAAATGCTGACAAACTGGTGTGAGTGATATGTTGCAGCATTTTGCTCTCCTGGGTGTCTTAAATAGACCCTCTGAGCAAATTAAGGACTCGCCTGAGGTGACCTCTAATGGCTTGATATCTCTCTGTAGCAATAGCTGAAATTTAGGTCTGGTTTCGCCAGATGTTAGGTATATTTGAGTCTGCATAGTTCGGGTTAATATGCTATTCAGGCACCTTCTGCTGACTAAACCTAAATGAAATTCAAGTGTTGGCCTTAGAGGTGACTCCTGTTTTTGTGCTGCAGGTGACTATCTAAAGGTAACGTGCCCTTGAGCTCTTTCTCTGAGCAAATAGACAAAGACTTGCTTTGGACACAGTTCTGCTTATGTGCTTGTACCAGGGACCCAATCTGAAGGAAATGTCTGGACTTTCAGCTTCATGGCTTTCTTCCCCTTGTTAATTAGCAAATAGAGCATGAAAAATGTACTAAGGTTGTATGTGTCTGAACAGAAGCTTGGCACCCAACCAGCAAAGCCTCTCTTCCCACCGGCTTCTGCAGGGAATTTTGCGATGTCGCACCATGACCTCATGCTGCTGTAGCCAGCATGCCAAAGCTGGAAAAGGGGAGGGAGGAAGAAATCAGCTCTTAAATGTTCAACTGGATGAGAATAAAAAGAATTCAGAAGATTGTGCATCAGCAAATTGATTCCTTTCTGTGCTTTTGCCCCACTCTGGGGATGTTTTCTGCCTGTGAAGCAAGAAGATTGAATGGTCTCTTCATTTTCAACTAGGTTAGCCTTTCTTTTGCCTCCAGTGTTTTACTTGGTGCTTTATACAAGTTTGTCTTCCAGAAAGGTGAGCTGGACAAATCCTGCTTGCAAATTCAAACTGGGCAAAATCTCTACCTTTATGATGGTCAGTGATGGCCCTTTCCAAAGCCAAGCTCTTTGCAAGGGATTTCTAAACCTGGAGAGATTGTGTTTGCTAGGTTTTTCTGGTTGTATAGTCCAGTTAGCCAGTTAATATATGTTTGGTTTATGTAAAGATGCTGCTAAGGGCACAGAAGGAGGTTGCTCCTTCAGAGAAACATTTTCTTAATAGTAGTTCTTTAGCTTTATATGCCAAGCATACTTGGTAGTAATCTATTTTCTTACAGGAGGTTCAGTTGATCTCTGTAAGCTCAGATAAACTGTTGCTTCAGGTAACGTCTCCTATTTTTGCCATGTATGGAATCAATTTCAGTAGTTTGTGCTTTAGGAAGCTTCTATCAGCTTGCACCTCATCCTGGAGAAATTCTGCTCTAAAATTTGCCAAGCAGAAATTTGCTGAAAGAATGGGATGTGTGTATGTAGGAAGCAAATCCTCTTAAATCATATGAAACATATTAGAAAAGATATGGTCTTGATGTTGTGTGCCATCCAGTTTCTTCAACCTGATCCTGCTGTGCCTTGCAAAATCTGCTTTCTCTGCTTTGTTTCTGCTATCACAGAGTGTGTCCAGTGGAGTATTTTCTCTGCTATGGAACTGTTTTCTTTGTCTCACTGGTGGATTTTGGTGCAGTTTATCTGGAAGACTGGTAACACAGTACTTTTGTTTAGGCAGAGCCAAAGGCCAGAGTACTGAGCGCAGCTGAGGATTGAGAAAGAACCTCCTCCTTGACACTGACAGGCCTATGTGGAAGGTTCTTTGGGAAGTCTTATTTGAAAGGCAGTATAAATCGTACGCTACCTTTCTTGATTTATGACTGTGATGAGAGGAGCTTTCATTCAAAGTGTGTGCACAGCACTGGGAATTTCACACCCATCGTTAGAAGCAGTTTTGTGTGTGTGGTGACTGTTATCATTAGTGGTATAATTTTATTTTGTGAAGCAAGGAGAGTTTTCTGCTTTCTTGCAGCCTTCCCAAGGGATGACTGGTGTATTAATTTGCTGTATTGCCTCCTGGCTGTTCCCAGACTGTTTTTCCTCTTCATCATGGAATTTTTAATGGCCCTGCTGCCTCTCGGGAGGCATGCAAGGAAGAGTACCTCAGGGATCTCTTCTTTTTTCACATGCCTATAATTACTCTCCTTTAAGAGCACAAAACGTTTGCTAATCATGTCTTGTCTGTTAAGGTTTCAACTTCACGATGCAGACTGCTAAAAGCAAGCAAGTAGAGGCTTACATGGGCAACTCAAGGGATCCTGCCCTCTTTCCCCTCTGCCTGTTTGCCTCTCTGGGAGGAGTGGTCTGAGCAGAATTTTGTTGTTGAGCTCCTTCTACTTAAGAGAATTTTGTACAGGCTGAAGTTGAATACCTTATTAGATGTCGGTTATTCAATATTCTGTAGCTGAGAAGATGTTGTAGATTGTTGGTTGCTATTCCCTTGAGGCAGGAGAAGAGTTTCAGAAGAGCCTAGAACCAATGTTCCCTTTAATTTGAATAGCAGGCAGAATAAGAGAGGAAGGTAGAAGATAAATTGTCCCTAATGCCATTTATTTTTTGCCTAGCCCTTAAAATAGGATTATGAGTGAAAAAAAGCAATTGAATATTCCCACTGGAGGTCATAGGAGAAGTGGACCTTGGATGGCAGATAGATGTTGAAGGTGGAGACTTGAAGAATTGTATTAAAATTTTGAACAACACAGATAAAGAAAATTGCTTTGCGTATACTCTGTTAATACTAACTGTAAATCTAGAGTTTAATCTGGTTTAGAAGCAAGTCTGTCATCTTGCCTGGAACATGGCATAAAGATGTAGAGGGATGAGGGATCTCATTTACTGTGAGTTGCCCCATACTCTGGGTCTGGTGGTGGTATTAAATTGAACAGACTTGAATGTCTCAAATTCTAGTTCCAGCTCTAGAAATACTCTTGTGAAAATAAATATTGTTCTGTCACTTCTGTATCTGCACACAGAGATCTTGATATTTCTGCCTCTTACCCAAGCATGTAGAAATACAGAGATTGCCAGCAATGCCAGGCCATTTCTGAGGCAGCCAAAGGAGTGAACAGATGTCCTCAATTTCATACTTTCCTACTTGAGCAGGACAGTATCCAGTTCATTCTAGGCAACCTTTCTCCCTATTTTTTTCACTCTATTTCCATTTAGCTGGAGGATTTGCATGTCTTCCTTTGCTAAAGCCTGGCTAATATTCCAGTTGGGAATATAACTGAGTTCTTCTGACAGGCATGCAGTGAACAGCAGCTATCAACCTAGTGTCACATGCAGTTGACTGGGGCCTAATATTCCCATTTTGATGAAACCTAATTCTCTGGAGTGAAAAATAAATTCCCCTTGGCTTCAGAATTTTTTTTTTACTTGCTATTTCAAATCTGTGTACTCAGCAGATCTGGCAAACAGTAGTAGTCTTTCTGGCACAGATACAGTGTGATTCAGTGTGGAAATAGGGAATATAATATATGGGATCACATCTTCTCTGCTTAGAGTGCTAACATGGAGAACAAGAAGAGAATGCATTCACTTGCATTTGCCACATGCAGACTTTTAGGAATGGAATTTCCACATCATTAAAATGCTTACTTGGGGAACAGACTGCTGCTGTTGAAGATCTATGAGAGTTGGATGATTGAAGAAGTGAGCTCACCTATTAGAGATTTTGGAATCTGAAAATGTGCTCTAGAAGCCTTCCCAAGAGGCTCTGCAGGACGTAGGAGACTGCTGTGCATCAGAGATATCTACACTGGGATGTGATAGCAAGAACCACTTGTGTGTGTGGGAGCTTTGCATGCAGATGGGATGAGTAACTTGTATTGATTTACACATGTTATGTGCAGATTAGACTGGTGCCCAGCTGGCTCTGTAGTCAAAGAGGAGAAAGAATTCTGCTTTTACTATTAATTTTGTGAAGCCACTATCAACAGCCTCAGGTAACACCTCAGGGCTTAGAGAAAGAGCCTTTCATTTGGTTTGTGTTTGCTCTGAATAGAGCATCACAACAGCAACAGCTGGGTTGTGTGGAGTTTTAGTAGCAGTATCTTAGTTAAAAGGCTGTCTCTATTAACATGCACTTTAACGTGAAGATAATAACATCCCTTGTTTTTATAGTAGTAGACTAATGACTGCCTCTCACTTTCACTGTATAATCCACATGCTTTGCTTCTTCTGAGGATAGGGTTAGAATAAAGAGTGTAAGCAGACATCTCCATGATGTGAGATGGCAGCGAGAGGCATACACGCTACAAGTGTGCAATGTGCCTCTTGTCTCCAAGAAGGCCACAGGTTGTCACATTTGACATACAGTTCTGTATGGCCTTTTCAGAGACCTTTGTTGTGAGATTAAGCTGGTTTTTACCCTGAATTTTAAACGACTCTTAAATTTTAAAAGGACTTCATGCTACCATTTAGACTTCACCGATAGTGAAGTTTTCAGGGTCTTGATGCTATTCAGTAAGATTCTTTGTGAGCTGGTGTCTGCTTGTGCTCTGTATTGTCTCCCACAGATTATATTGCCAATCCTAATTTTCTGTTGAAATATTGTGGTAGATATGCAATAGTGGCAATCTCCAGTGCGTGGTCATCTCAAACTGTAGAAGTGCAATGGGAGTCCTGTATATGCAAGTACTGGTCATTTAAAAACATGTAAAAAAAGTCATAGAATAAATGCGTGGAAAAGAAATGAAAGGAAGCATTACTTCTGACACATTAGAGACTACCATGAATTTCATCTTGCTGCATAACAAAGCCTTTTTTTTCTTCAGCATGACCTGCATGCAGAACTGAGTACTATAAGTACTATGTTAAAAACAAAAGACAAAAACTATTTCCTGAATAATTCCTTTAGTTTGTGATTACAAAAAATATTATCACTGTCAAAAAGACACTACAGACTTTTCATATTGTTGAAAACCATTTTTCCTATACATGTGTAATTTTTCATTCACTAACTCCTGGCAGTGACTGCTGTGTGAGTTGAATATATTGCAGCCAACAGAACAGCCACATTTTTGATCCTGATATGTTTCTCTAAGTGTGTTCTCCTTTTCTCTTCCAGGGTTAGAATTTCAGTCATCTCTAGATTATAAACTACATTTTCATGTTAGTCACTGGTCACCTGGCTGCTCCACCCATGACTAAGCACTGCAGCTTGGTTTCTTCTTATGATAAACCTGTTGTAGTCCAAAAGAAACCAGGGAATTATCTTCTCATTGCTGTTTAGGCAACATTGAAGAAAGCATGGAGGCCTAGCAGAAGAGATTGAAGGATAGTAATAACAGTGTAAGTCTTACTCTAGTGTGTAAGTTTAGGCCCAGATCTTATATCTCACAAAGTTCTGGTCTCAAACTTCTTTACAGAGAGGGCTGTGACAATGCACAAATATACATTTTCTGTCAGGCTTTCCTGTTCTAATGTACTTCAGAGAAATTTTTAACTGTTCAGAAGAGTTGTTAAAATTCAGCTTTGGAAGGAGAACTAATTTACCATTGCAATTTGTGATATTTTCGCATTTTATAATTCAGCCTATCCACTGCTATGTTGGGTACTGTGCATATCCATGACTTGATTTGCCTAATGGTGGTGGTGGTTGTAGGAGGCTATAGGAGTCTGCTGTTAAACTGGGATTCGCTAATTCTATTATCTCACTGATATAGACCTTCATGCAAGCTAAGTGATTAGAAATTTACATTGAAAAGTGTGATATCTACCAAAAATCTGCATATTTCATAAGTTATACCTCAGACATCCTTTCTGTCCATGCTTTAATGAGGACTGTCATCTCTCTCCCAAGGTACTTACCACCTGGAGATTCCCCACATGTAGATTTATGGTGCCTGTAAAATGCACCAGCCACTTGAAATGACACTTTTACCACTGGGTCAGTCAGAGCCAGTGAGTAATCAATAGATTCCTGATTTACTAACTAAAGTGTGGGTGATCAATAAGGGATAAACCTGAATGAAAAACATGTTACAGAGACAATTTATGACCTCTGAGCCTTTGTATTTAGAGGCAGGGCTACTAGATACGGCATTCTTGCTAGCAGTCTTCAACTGACGCATGATTTGCCTTTATTTTCACTACAAGAAGGGATTTTGAGATTCTTTTCTTTTTCTTTTTACCTCTTGTGTAATTATCAGGTAAGGGTATATGTTTGAGTATGTAGCGTAGCTGAGAGCCAGGAGCTCTTATGCAAAATCTAGCTGTGCTATTTGTGGGCTGGGAAAAATTGCATAAAGTCTCTTGGAAATGATAGTACATACTTCTTTCCTAGTCCATAGTGATTCTTCCCCAAGGATCAGCTGGTTAGTGTTGGTGTAAGTTCATAAAATTAAAAACGGAACATTTAAAAATTATTTCTGTTGTTATTGTTACATTATTTAAAATTAATCAGATTATTATATACAATTATGTAGTCTTGCAGTTAGTAATCTAATACTGTGTCACTGATGCAAAATAAAAAACGGTTTCTTTTCTTCAGGTTATGTGTGTTTAGATGTTTCAGAATACATGAGTACAGCTTTGTTAAAACACTGTATAGCCACTATTATAGTCATGTACAAAAGCAGTTTTTAGCATCCACAAAGTTACTTAGAGGTGAATCACTTCAGTGTACAAGCATGAGATTTGAATGTGCATTCTGTAAGTGTGCCAGTCTTTTTGAAAGCTCTTCATTTCCAGGGATGGCTTATCTAACCACCTTCCTGGGCACTTCATTCCAATGTTTGACAACCCTTTCCTTGAAGAAAGTCCTCCTGATATCCGACCTGAACCTCCCCTGGCACAGCATGAGACTGTGTCTTCTCATTCTTCTGCCAGTTGATTGGGAGAAGAGACCGACCCCCACCTGGCTATGCCCTCCTTTCAGGTCCTTGTACAGCAATAGGGTCTTCCCTGAGCTTCCTTTCCCCCAGGCTAAACAACCCCAGCTCCCTCAGCTGCTCCTCATAGGGCTTAGGCTCCAGACCCTTCACCAGCTCCATTGCCCTTCTCTGGGCACGCTCCAGCACCTCAGTGCTCTTGTAGTGAAGGACCCAAAATCAAACATGGAACTCGAGGTGCAGCTTCACCAAGTGCAGGGGAATGATCCCTTCCCAGGTTCAGCTGGCCACAATATTCTTGATCCAGGCCATGATCCCACTGGCCTTGGCCACCAGGGCACACACTGGCTCATGTTCAGCCGCTGTTGATCAGCACCCCCAGGCCCTTTTCCTCTGGACTGCTTTCCCACCATCCTTCCCCCAGCAGTGATGAATGGGGTTGTTGTGGCCAAAGTGAAGGCACTTGGTCTTGGTGAGTTTAAGTGAAAGTACACTCTATCCCCTCGGGAGATTTCTTTGTCTGGTTGTATTAATACGTGCTCCCAGATTTGAAAAACTGGCTGTCTGTGAAACATAGCACAATTTAGAAATTTTTGGAACTGTTCTTGAATGTCAGATTTAGAGGACAGATCGTGGAGACTTCTTGTAGAACTTTTGAATTTTAGTTGAGAAGATGAAACAGTAGGTATTTCCTTTATTTTGTGGTTGCTCTTTTTTTTTCAGGTGAGTAGAAAGACTCAGCAACATTCAAACAATTTATAGACTGGACTAGTATAGGAATTTCTTTGTGCTCCTACACTGTTCTGTATAGATATGATAGCACAATTTGGTTTTGCATAAATACAGCATCTAAAATGATACATATTGTAAATACGTGGATTTGTTTTTTTAATAGATTTTTGTCATCAGAATAAAAACTTATAAGGTTTTCCTTTTGTTATATTTCAAACGTTTTAGTAGTAACAAAAAAAATTAGTAGTAATAAAAATTTTAAAAATCAAAATAAGCTTTGAAGACACTGCAACATTTCAGCACTTAATCATCAAAACATATATGGTTCCAAATTTTACACTGTGTAAGCCCCTCACAGTCTTTAACTGATTTTATTTTCATTGTAGTTCTGCATTTTGTACATCAGATCTGATGATAAGTATGACCAAGGAACTTGCCAAAGGAAGTCTGTTATATTGGACAAAAAAGGGATTTGAACCCAATGTCATTGCTTAATTATGCATTTATATTCATTATGGATGTTATTCGAGGAAGTTCTCTGGTTTGCTGCAAAGACTGTTATTTCTGAATTAAACTTCTATGCTTCCTACAGGTATATGACTTGAAGAAGTTCTCAGCTCAAGTCAGTTCCAACAATATAGGTTTCTTCTTAATTGGAAATGGCTGCTTCTTAATTGGCAAATGATTAAACTGAAACATCCATCAATAGGCTTCACACTTAAGAGTTGATATTAACAGAACAGATTATGCCTTTCAGTCAATTTAGAGTTGCAACAAGATTGCCATTAGTCAAATTCAGCTGTTTGTACGCCACTTTGATAAGAAAATAACAATTTTAAAAACACATGAAACAGTTTTGAATTCCTAACTTTACAACTATAGTGAAACAATATGCATGGGCATTTGGCATTTTAGGTACATTCTGAGATGACTCTACAGTACCAAATAGATTGCAAAATAATTTCTGACTAAGGAACAAATATCACAGTTTATATAAAGAGCATCTTGCATACATTGTTATTCTAGCATTGAGGTAATGGTAGGACACATGTCATATTACTGCTTGATCACATCTTTATGTATGCAAGGAGTTAGTTTGGAGTTAACACAAAACCACATCCTTTCAAGGCTAAGAAATAATTACTGAACAGTTTAAGTGTGAGCTCTTAAAGGAAATGGGAACATAATTTATATTGACAAAGAATTTGAGCAAAACTCCCTAAGAAACTTTTGGGTTGTGCTACTTGCTAGTTAAGAAGCTGATGGGAAGGTAGGAGCTGGAGGTGGCTGGTCAATCTTACAGAAATGGGATATTGGAACAGAGTTTAATTTATTTTATTTTCTCCATAGGCAAGCAAATGTCCACCTGGGACTGCCATGTTCAAGGGACATCAAGAGGAAACGAAAGCCAGCTGCAGCCTCCATGTCTAGCCCAACATCAGGTAACCTGCCAGCATTTTTATAGTCTTGTCCCTTTTGAGCAAAGCACCATAGGCAAAAATAGTGTTACTTTGGTTTGAAACTAATGAAATGTGTAAGAGAGCATATAATGTGTTTTTGCATAGCATCAAAAGCTGCCTACTAAAAAAAATTTTGGCAATGTAGCAATGTTAAGTTAATATAATTTGCAGTGTTTCACCTTACGGTGAATAGTGATCTGCTTCTTCATAAGATGTTATTTCCACTGTCCTAAATGATGTAGTTCATGGTAATAGGCAGTTGATCAGTATGCGTGGTGTGTTCCTTCAGTGTTGGGCTCACTGGTGGCTCTGATGCCCTTTATCTCCGGGCATTTGTAGACAATTTCACAGGAGCAAAAATCTGGCAATTTTTGTATCTTCTCTGGGTGTGAAACCACTTATTCCCTGGGAGTTGTCTTATTCTTCTGGATGAAAATAGTGTTTTCTTGTTATGGGGATGTAGTAATTAAAATGCTGGTCAATTTTCATGTGGCTGTTTTCTGAAAAGTCACTGATTAGTCATCAGAATATGAAAAAGCTTTAATCTGGTGAATGTGGTGGGTTTTAGGATGCTTCTTTCTGTTCTTTCACATTACCCTATCTTGCGGCTATCCACTGACATATGTTCTTCCAACTAGTTTATGAAATAACTATTCTTGTAATCCAGTAACAAGGTAGTGGGTAAGATGGTGGAAAAAATGGAGGTGTGAAAACAGTGAGGAAGACCAAATAAATTGATGATTAATAGGAGGAAGTTTATGTTTCTTCCTTGGGCTGGTGGATAGACAGAATAATGACTTAGAGAAGAAAGCTGAGCTTTCTCTCCAGGATCTGGGTTGCAAACTGTCAGGTTCTGTAATAAAAAAGAAGAGAAAAGAACATTAATAATCTGTTGTTCAGCAGAAGTCTCTTCTATTATTGATTATTTATTTAGATTATTCATTCCTGGCTTTTGAGTATTCCATTTTGGGATATTCAAACTTCTGTAGTAAAAGGGATAGTACCTGTAACCACAGAATCCTAGCACTACTAGAATACTAGATTTTCTTGGTATGAGTGCTAATGTTTCACTGTCCCCTGTTACCTGTCCATTTATTTATTATTCAGAATGTATTGCTGGTCACTTTTATAAGGAGAGCTTCTGTTTCCATGCCTACATGTTTCAAAATACTATTTAAGTTGTACTTACCTGATTAGGCAAATTGTATAATGAACACTTTTTGAAGAGTTGAGAGCGCATCTGGAGTGGAACTTAACTCTGGAAAATAGCACAGGGCTTTGGAAAGCTTTCTTATTATGGATGTGAGAGAGAGGATTATTATGTATTACAAAATAAGGAAGAAGTGTAGTTAGTAGAGTACAGGCAGCATGCTTATGCTGATCATCAAGAGACAAGGTCTGCAAAGTCTTTAATGGTAAGAAATGGTAAAGATCTGTTCCTCAGACTCTGTTTAGAAATATCCTCAGACAAGTGAACAGCCATGGGCAGGGTTTGCTGCAGTACTGACTTGTGGAAAGAAACTTTTATGATTGGATAACTGAAGCTGTGTCCTAAATAACGTTCTACTACAGACTCCCAATTACAGCTGAAGCACAACCTGGATGTGTAACTTGGAAACTTCTGGAATCTGATTATTTCTGTCAAAGGAGATTTTGCTATGGAATTACTAATGCCTAAAAAGATAACCAAGTATTATTCTGCAATAATGTAGAATTAATTGGACACTTAGGTTTGTTGGATATTGATGAGATAAAGATTTTTCTCCCTTGGCATGCATCTACTCACCCCCATATAAATGCCATATACTGGGTTTCCCATGTGCCTGAGGAGTCATGCAGCCTCATTTTTTTTGCTTCTGGGGCTTTTTATGTTTGTGGTGCTTTGCTTCTGCAAAAGGTGAAGCACATGTAAATCAGAATGCAGGCCTATGCTTGTCATGCAGGCACAGAGTGCTGGATTTCTTCACCTTTAAATAGCTTCTTCGCTGCGTCCAACTGCTCTCGTCTCACTTGTTGACCAGGTCCTGCTTCAGTGATCTCCTTTTTTGCAACCTGAGTGCCCCATGGAGGTGAAGGACACAGCCTGAGCTGGCTTCATCAGTCAGCAGAACAAATGGGCTTGCTCTGCCGAACATCGGGCCATCTCGGATTCCACCTCTTTTATAGAGATGAGTGATGAAGAGGGGCTCGTTCCGCTTTGCCGCTGTATTAATACACATCAGGGGCCAGCTCCCGGCACTAAATCACGCTGCTGCATACATCTGTTATCGGACTCCTCACCAGTGTGATGAACAAGACTGCAGATAGAGGCTTCCTCGTGTCATTCTTTATAGGATTTTCCTAAAAGAATAAATAGCTCAAATCTCTGCCAACACTATCCCCTGTCATTGTGATGAATTTAGCTTCTTTCTTAAACATGCAGCTACAAATCTTCCCCTGTCACCTCACCCCCCCACTATCCACAGAAAGTTTTGAGTTGAATTTGGCTGAAATCGGAAGATGCTAATAAAAGGCAGATGAGATGTTGGTGCTAGTTTCCTCCTCAGTGCAGGAATGAGAAAAGGCAGCTAGGTATAATGTTTATTTGGGAACTGAGCAACTAAATTTATTCCATGTCTTCTCATGTGCTTTCATGAATGTTGAGTATTTGAGTTCTGGTAAAGTATCTTTTCTCAGAGACCCTTGCATGAACATCAAAAAACTGCATTACTGTAGAAGTGCCTTGGGTCTCTATTGTATTGCTATAGTATTAAAGTTGTGGTATTAATCCTGTTCTTTGAGACTCACTGGCCTAAACACCATAACTGAGCTGTTGAGAACAACAAAAAGCGGGTAGAAAATTCAGAATTGATTTTACACTTCAGGAAGTGACTTTTATCAAAATTAAATTGGACAAACTTATGCAAATATTCAGAGAGACTGAAAATTAATGTTTTCCACACTACACAATTGAACAGTGTGAGCCCTAAAGCCTGAGGCCTTCAATGGATAAGAACAAAAATCTGGCTGGTGTAGTTTGGCATTAGAATAAGGAAATCTGGAGGAAGTTAAGGCTGATACTGGATCAGACCAGAGGTTGGTCCAACTCAGTGACCAACAGCCAATGCCTAGGGAGGAAGAAAATCTCTGGTGGTAAAAGTCCTTTCAGTGATCTGAGCTTTTGGAGGCATGGATAGTGTCCTTGTGTTTAATTACTTTCCGTTGCAGTACAGTAGATTTGGGATAATATTTCCAGTGGCACAGTAGAGCTTGTTTGAGAAATACTGCATAAAATGTTATTCTCATGGAAGTTATGCTGTGGTTTGAAAGGAATCTGATGAAGACTGTCATGTCTGTCTTCATTTGGTCAGAATAGGCCACAAGTACAGATGGTTGTGCAATAAATGGTGAACAAGTACTGATTTCTACACTGATGTTTTTAATGTTCCTGTAGTTCAATCCTCTATGTATGTAGCAGTGAACATGGTAACTGGCATCCTAATCAGCTATTACAATGAGTCTGGGGTAAAAATCTGCATAAATAGGTTTTTGTCTGCCTTGGCATGCATTCACACTTAGCTTGTAAAAAAGGTGACAGTCTAGCAGCCTGTGAAACTGCTTATTGATGAACAGTCTGAGTAGTAGCAATTTGGTGAATTTTCCCTCTCCTATTTCTTGCTAATTATTGACTCTGTCATACCCAGAAACAAGAAACCAGTTTCAGTCCTTTTCTTTTTATGAGGATAGATGGAGAGCCTGAGTGGGGAGGCTGCTAGCAAGGAGCCCATAGCTTAGTATTTGTGGTGATTGTGAGTTTAAAGACTGACTTAGTTGTTGGGGTTTTTTTTCACGTTTCATATGACCTTCAGATGGAGGAAGATGATGGGCTGAATGTAAAATTGCAAGGTACTTTTATCAACTGTGTTGTAGTTATATGGGAATGACTCACAGTTTTGGATGCACAGAAGCAGCATTGTTGGGGTTCCAGATCCACTGAATGTGGAACCTCAAGCATTGAACCAACTTTTTATTTAAACTTCAAAGCAATCTGTCCTTTAGTTGATGCTTGCTGTGGCCTCTTTATCCTTCATCCACTACAGAACAACTGATGCAAGTTGTAATTAAAACACACAAAAACTATTATTTGTTGTGAGACTACAATGAAGAAATATGTTTTGTATTTTTTGTATTGAAGTAGTTACTTGTTAAAAAAATTCTGTTTGCCCCAAAGACTCCTATGGCAATTACTCTTCTTTACCCGGCCCTGTTCTGCTTGTGAGGATTGAGTGATTCAGGATACTGAGAATTGGAGTAAACTCTCATATCTTTAGGTTTTTGACAATCCTTCCGGAAATTTGGGTGACTGTTGGGTTGAGCTATGGATCTGCAAATCTTTCTGGCTATTATAGCCTGTCTCATTTTGAAGCAGTGGCTGTATTGAGAAAATTACAATGGCAAGTAGTTTGGCAAGTAGTTTCTTGTCATATTATTCTGATGTACTATGTTGGATATATGTGGAGGTTCATGGTACTGCCCTTACTGGGGGAGGAGAGGTATGTTTTCCTCTTTAGATGAGCTTAGCAACCTGAAATTTGCCACACCTTCAGAGACTTTGAAAGTCTCAAGTAGATCGAGACTGTCTCAAGTTAATTGAGTCTTTGCAAGGAGTCCAAGTTATTTTAAGATGAATGTGAATTGATTCATTTTAAATATGGGAGAGCTGAAACTTTTGATTTTCAACAGGAACTCTGACTAAGGGAACTAGTTAGTGGACTGGGAATTTTGAATGTGTGAATTGTTAGAGCAAAATTGTTAATGCTAATTAACAGTTGTTAATTGTTAATGATCAAGAACCTCTATTTCAAAGGAATTTAGATGGAGAACTTTTAGAAATTCCATAAATAATATCTTCATAAATGAAATGATATATATGAAGGGTTTGCCATGAAGTCAGTTGTTCTAACTTTTTTTATTGCTCTTTCTTACTGTCTTCCTCTGTTCCCCTTTTCCTGCAATTTTATATTCCAGCAACTTTATCTGTCCACATGGATGCAGCAGAATCAGAGCTACCAGCAACACCATCCTTGAGATCCCAGAACTCTGAATGGACTGGGAAAACACCAGCAGCTGAGAAATCTACTATTGCTGCCTCCAGTAACTTTTTTAAAATGCCACCAGAGAAGAGCCCTGGATACAGCTAAAAGGAAGCATTGCAACTCTAAAAGCTTGCTCGATTTTGGAAGTGTTTGATTCTGGTGTTTGCACCAAACATCTTGTTTGGCAGTAGTGGTATCTTCAGTATTGGTGTGTGATGCTTGCCATCATCCAGGCTGGTCTCTGTGCCTCACACACCTGAGTCATGTTTGTTAATCTATGCTTAAGAAAAGGTAATCAATGTTGGGACTGCAGTGGCTTTTAGAAGTTTTACTGCTATCACTGTATTTATTATGAATTCATCTCTTTCCCTAATTACAGCTCATATGTAATGGGTCATGTACAGGTTCTTTTGGGTTTTCAGATCTTTATTCACCCCCTGGACATGTTGCTTGTTTGTGTATTTGGCATTTTCAGGGTGAAAGTCCCACTGCCATTCAGGGAGGCAGGCGTCTCCCTCTGCTTGCTTCCAGGCCAGAAGGATTCCTTGGGTGAGGAATGAGGAGGGAATACTAACACATTGAAACATGGAACCTGAATCCTATATTAGCAGAATGTTTTCTGGCCATGTGCTAATGGACTCAAATCATGTTGCTTCTGGCAAAGCAAATATGGTGCTTGTCTACACAGAAATTGCCATTAGCTCACTGGCAGCATTGTCCATTAGACCTTTTCCTTCTCCCTTGTTCTGAATGTCTTTGGTCTTTATTGTGTATTGCATGTTCATTCCTAAACCTCCTACTGGATAAGGATTTGGGAGAACTGCTTGGACATAAATTTGCAAACTGGTGTCCTGGGTAGAAACCCGGACTCTTGAATGTTGTTACAGTATGGTAGAAGATTATACAAAACATCCATATCTCAGTGTATAAATTAAAAAATATCTGTTAGTGTTTTTAAAGGATGCTTGTTGAAGTTAACATGCCATTGAACAAAAAAGCCATTTAAAATGTCACCTGAGTTCAGGGCATTATGGGTATAGATCAGACTCCTATATCATGCTTTCTCTCCCTTCAAAAGTATTGTCTGCTATACCTGCTGGAGGTGTCTCCATTTTCTGATGATTGCACATTACACTGCAGTGTACACTAAAGAGGTTATCTTCATACAACTTCCACTTGGTCTGCTGTTACCTTCTGTGTTGCAGAATATATGGACAGAGATTTCTTCCCTCTCTTTAATAACTGGAGCTTATCTTGGTCTGTGTTTTCAGAATATGTACCTGTATAGCATGTGCCAAGGAACAGGTGGCCTCACAGCTTCTTAAATCCTTTAAAAATAGGATCTATTTGTATGAATAGAACTTCATGCTTTCTTCGTGTGGAGCTTTCAGACAGGAGCATTTAAACTTGTAAAATCTATTTTGATTGTGGTGGTGCATCTAGCACTCTTAAACAGATAGCAAAATTTGTGTGATTTTAGTGATTTTGCAGTGTTCTTCTCTCTTATGAATCCAATAACTGAGGGACAGATTTAAGTGGGGGAATATGAAGCAGTGATTTATGTTAACTGTGTATTAAAATGGGAAATGGTCATAATATACATGAAACAGAAACTGAATAACTTGCTAAATCATGATTGACAAATATAGTTATACTACATGCACACTGTGTCTGATCCCCTAATACCTACTTATTCTTGGGGAGACATCCAAATTGGATTTATATTTCGCAGCACAAGCAAACTGTCGGATCTGTACCTATAAATCCTTCTCAAAACTATTTCTTTCTTTTTTATTTTTTCATTTGGGTGGTATATTTTAGAACTAATAAGAACACGAAATTCCTTTTTACCTTAATGAAGGAATACAAAAGTCCATTTGGATGACAGGACAAGCTGTAAGAGTTTGTGAAGGAAGAAGTAATCCTGTTTTGAAGTTGTCATGGCTTTGTCTTATTTGTAGCAATTTTTAACAATGGTGCTTAAGGGGTAATGCAGGAAGTTTCAGCACTGGAGGGTCTGTAATCTAAAACATCTGAAGAGAAGGTAGACCTGAAGAGTAGTAGCTTGACTCTCTAGTACTCAGGAATACAATGAATGGGAAAGGTGGTCATGTTCTCTTGACAACTTGCAGATAAAATTTAGGATTTGAATCCTTGTAATCTAAACCACGTGCTGCTCCAATGATAGGGAGTAGTTCCCTAAAAGAGCATTTGTGAAATTGAGTGGTTTTGATATCATGGAGTATCCTCCACAACCTCTCTTAGTTTGAGTCTGTTCAACAGACTTACTCAGATTACTGATCCTTCAGCTAAAATTTTATATTTTAGTCATTATATTCTCTTTTTAAAATCAATTGTGATATGTCTTGCTACACTCTGAGTATTGTCCACAGTAGTTTTTTCCTCTTCTGTGAAGCCAGGATGCTTTAAAAACTTTTTCAAGAAAGGTGTTAGGGAATCAAGAGCCTCCATCTCATTGTGGTGGTGGAGGGGTGGGTTTCAGTGCTTCATGTGATTTTTCTCTGGGGGCAGAGAAAGAGAATTGATCAGATTATCCTATTGAGGTCAGTAGCAGTGTTATCTGGTTAAGCCCTTACTTAGGTTGTAAGCTCCTAGGAGGTATTTCTTACCTTTAAAGGCTGATTTTACCTGTGGCACTACTGAAGAACAACTGTGGCAGGTCTTGTCTTGACAAACCATACTTCCTGCCATAGCAACTTTCTGAAAGTTCCAGGAGACTCCACTTTATTGCAGCTGCCCTGTTTTTCCTGTTTCTAGGTTAGAATCTATTTACAAGTCAGTCAGTTTCTCAACCAAATTTGATTCTCCTGAGTGGTAGGCAAGCTAAATGGATCGTGTATCTTGTTACTCCAGGGTATTTATCAAAATATATCTTCAGACTTCAGTAACTTGATACTTAATATCTGCACCATTTTTGATGAATAAAATAAGTCCATTTTTTGCCTCCTTTTTTCAGATTTCTTAGAATTCACTCTGCTCACACAGTACTCAGTGTGAAGGATACTGCTTCCCATGTGGATTACTTGAGTAGAAAGGAGTAATAACATGGTTTGATTTGGTAGCTGTGCTTCTGCAAAGGTATCCATCCAGTATGTGATTATTGCTTCAAAGATACACTGTTCCCTCATTTTTCACTTTTTGTCCACCAGGACTCCGCAGTCTTTTTTTCAGTTTTGTCTTCTCTCCAACTGTGTTTCTCCTTGTCCTTTTGGGAGACTTCAACTTCACAGACAGGGCCTGGGAATACCATACTGCTGTGACAAGCAAGTCTGGGAAATTCCTGAAGTATGCTGAAGATAACTTGTAGTCACAAGTACTCAGTGAGACAACTAGGAAAGATCCCCTCCTAAACCTGTTATTTATTAATAAAGAAGGACTTCTGAGAGATATGATGGTAAGTGGCTGCCTTTGCCACAAAGCCATGAAATGGGTAATTTAAAAATTTTTGATGTAATGAGGAAAATGGTCAGCAAAGTTGCTACCCTGAATTTCAATACAGCTAATTTTAGGTGACTCAGTGAGCCTAGTTACTAGCATGTTCTTCCTTGAATGCTGGTCAGTTTTTTAGGAAGCACCTTTAAAAGCACAAGAGCAAGTGATCTCTCTGTGTTGAAAGTCAAACAAGCCATGCAGAAGACCAGCTTAAGTGAACAAGGAACTCCTCTTGAATCTCAGGAAGAGAAATAGATTGTGTGATCTCTGGAAACAAAGTCATGCTTCGCAGAAAAATTACAGAGCTGTAGTTCACATATGCAGGGAGAAGATATGAAAGACTAAAACTTAGAGTTGAAACTGGCCAGTGTTGTGTCCATACAAGTAAAGCTTTTTGAAGTACATATATAGCAAGAGGAGGTCTAAGGGAAACATTGGACTGATATTTGTTGTAGATAATCACCTGACAAATTGGTGTGAAGAGAAAGTGGGGGCATTCAGCACTTTTTTTTGCCTTGGTCTCTTATGATACTGACAGACCTTGGGCTGCCCTGTCTTCTGATTTGGAGGAGTATTTCTGTGGGAATAGTGACTTTCTATTTGTGTACACGGAGATTGTAAGGGACCAGTTGAATGTTTGTAGGTCTATGAGGCCAGGTGGGATTCATCCCAGAGTACTCAAAGGAGTGGTGGTTGTTGTAGCATGACCTCTCTCAATCTCTACCAAAGGTTTTGGGAGCCTGGGAAAGGTCCATGCTTACTAGAAGCTATTCAACATTATACTAGTTTACAAGAAGAGCATGAAGCAAGACCCAAAAACCACAGACCTGCTAGTCTAGCCCCGGTACCTGGCAAATTCTAGAGAAGATCATACTGGGTGTTACTGAAAGGCATTTAAATCACAGAGTCATAGAATCCTGAGTTGGAAAGGGACCCTCAGGGATCATCAAGTCCAATAAAAAAGGTCTAGTGGGTGATGTGGTGATTGGCAGCTGTCTTAGGCATAGTGACCATGAAATAGTAGAGTTTTCAATACTGGGTGAAGTAAGAAAGGGCACCCGCAGAATTTCCACCATGGACTTTCAATGGGCAGACTTTGACCTGTTCAGGAGATTGACAGAATCCCTTGGGAGTCAGTCCGGAAGGGCAAAGGAATCTAGGAAGTCTAGATGTGCTTTAAAAATGAATTCTTAAATATATTCAGTAGCAGCACCATTTTCTTAGTCGTCCTTTGGATGTTCTCTAATAGCTTTATATCCTTCCAATATTGTGACACCCCAAACCACACATGGGACTCGAGGTGAGATCACACCAGTGCAGGGCCAAGCAGGACAATCCCATCCCTTGACTAGATCATGATGTAATTTTAAAACGGAGAAAATAATAAAGGGCAAGTTGGTGAAAGAGCTGGAAGCCATATCATGTGGGAAGTGGTGAAGGAATTTGGTTTTGTCTGGTTTGGAGAAAAGAAGACTGCTCTCTACAGTTTTCTGACGGGGGGAGAGTGGACAGAGGGGTGCTGGTCTTTTCTCCTTGGTATCTAGTCACTGGGCAAATGGGAATAGTTAAGAGCTGTGCTAAGGGAGATTCAGACTTGATGTTAGGAAACACTTCTATACAGAGAGGGTGGTCAAACACTGGAGCAGGCTTCCTAGAGAGATGGTTGATGCCCCAAGCCTGTTGGAGTTAAGAGACATTTGGACAATGCCCTTACTTTAATTTCTGTTCAGTCCTGAAATGGTCAGTCAGTAGCACTAGTTACTAATTTTAGGTCCCTTTCAATTGAACTGTTCTATCTTAATCATAACTTCATGATGTTTCTGTCTTTCCATTCCTCCAATCTGTCCAAATCTCTCTTGGTAGTATCCCCACCCTCCAGCATATCAGTGGTTCCCTTCCTCAACATGCCATTATTTCTGATCTTGTTGAGAGTATATTTTGTCTTTTCCCGCCAGGTCACTCATCATGTCTGAACACTGTCAATCCCAGTATTGTCTTCTAAGACATGCTTTTCATAAATGGCTGTCATGCAGATTTCAAACCATTGATTGCTTAACCTGGCCAGCTTCTCTCTGATCTTTCTTACTGGATGCTATCCAGTCCATAATTCCCCAATCTGGCTGTAAGGGTGCTGTGAGAGACTGCATCAAGAGGCTTACTGAAGTCAGTGGAGACATCGTTCACTGTCCTCTATGCATCCTCAGAGCCTATCATTCCATCATAGAAGACAGGTTCATAGGCTTGATTTTCCATTATTTAATCTGTCTGTCCATTCCTAGTTACCTCTTTGTCCTTTGGGTGCCTAGAAATGGCTTCCAAAACTTGCTTCATAAAGCTACAGGGGACTGAGGCATGGCTGATTAGCCTATCACTCCACCAATACTCCTTCTTGTCTTTTTAGAAAGGTGATGTATATATACATATCACTTCTTGTCTGTGGGGACCTCATGCAATTGCAACAGTTTTTCATAGATAGCAGTGACCAATCTCAAAATGATATACTTCTGTGTATAGGGAGAAAATGGACATTCTGTGAAAGAGAAATCAAGAGCTGAGAGAAGCACATTTTCTAGTTGTTCTTTGCACATTTCCAGTAGTTCCAGTGAACTCTAGTCAGGCTTAATGCCCAGTTTAGTAGGTACTGGAGAAGACTGAATTAAAAGAATGTAGTTTCTGTCCTGATGGATTTATGATTTTAAGGTACAGTAAAAAGTAAAGAAAGGAGCAAAACAGGAGCTGGAGAGAAGCTTGTTAGAGGCTGGGATTAGTGCTACTGAATGATAGATTAGCTTTGTGATTGTGGTATGCAGAGGTGTGTCTTGCCAGCATCATTCTTGAATAATGACATTGAGTAGGTTAGTGCTGTCCTTCAAACTGTAGATGCTCTTGCTGTTATTTTGTGGATGTTGCAGAGACCTGCTTAGTGGGCAGAGGATGAGAAGGGAAATTGTAAGAAGGGCAGCAAGAAGCATGATGGAGTGCCTCTTTTATTGTAACCCCTTCTGTACTGAAGAAGGAATATGCTACAAAAAACAGTATGTGTGCCTAGATATTGAAAAGAAATTATGTCAAATGGATAAGAACTTTGTTGTCTTGAGGAACAGTTTGTAACCAGAAAACTTCTCAGTAAAGAAAAAGTGAAGGATACTACATTTTTTCAGAATATGTATTTTAATAGTCTCTTAAGAGACTATCAAAGGAAGATGAACTTCTGTTCTCATTGTGATAATTCATTTCTGTGTCTTTGTTTTCTGTATTCTGTTCTAGTTTGTGTTTTGTGACTGTGAAATCCTTTTGTACCATCAAATGCAGGAAAAATACTTAACAGTAATGCTTTTTAAGGCATAAAGCATAAGGGGACACTTGCTATACAGGAGGTAAAACAAGATTATTTTAGGCCATTAATTTTACCCAGTACAAGGCTTGAACTCAGCACAGAGGGCATAATGTCTTAATTACACCAAAGCATCTCTTTTTTAAGAAAGTAAATGGTGCCAGAGACAAGTGCAGGAAGACTAAACTGGCACCAGTGCCTGGAGACTCATGTGTGGCTGGACTTCAGTCACATGATATATAATACAGATTTACATTGTAGAGACAAGGAACTTTCAACATCCATCTCAACTTTAATGGGGCTGGAATGCTTTCCCAATTGCCACCATGGCTCTTTGTGAGTCCAGCAAGTTGAAAAGATGTGCTCACTGCCATACTGTGTAAAGAGAATTCTTGTACCAACTTAAAAAATTGGTAAAACTGGAAAATGGACTGGTACAGCCTATTATATTAGAGAAAGATGCAAAATATATATACTTGCAGACAATAATCAGGATAAGTATTACTGAGCCCTGTGTGTTATGAGCTAGAGTATTCAATGTGCTAAAGCAGAGATGCCAGTACTACAAGGATGATCAAGGTTGTTCAAGCCCTCTTGTCCTTGTAACTGCTGAAGGAAATGGGATGAACAGCATGAGAATGGTCTGACACAGTACAGCCTAAGGTCTTATTGTCCTGGGGGGTACTGTAAAGATAAAGCAGTAATATAGTGATACTTTTTTTTTGTATTCTCTTAGCCCAGTGTCCTGCCTCAAAAAGATGTACAAGCTTTCTTCAAGGCTAGAGAAAACATTTTTGAACTTTTGGTTATACTATTTATCCTGCAACTGGATTTAAATATATTTTTTACATGGACACATCCTGATGATGAAAACATCAAGTAAAGATTAGCATATCTTTGTTTGTAATCAGTTTTCTTACTAATTACCCTCTTTCTAAGTAAATAATATCTCTTGAATTTTTGTTTTCTTAAGAACAACATCCTGGCATTATTTCTTACAGCACTTTTTTTCCAACAAGTTGAAAAGTCTTCTTCTTTCTTTACAATGAGGCTTTTTTGACATGTATTTGTATGCCCAGTCAACAAGTCTTATGTAATCCATTAACCCATATAAATCAATTTTTATAAGCTTCATACAGTAAAGCTTATCATTTAAGCTTTGATTGTGCTTCTGCGTGAAAATCCCCCATATTCCACATCCATATGCATTCAGTTCTAGTGTCTACACTTGAAGTATTCTTACTTTATATTAATATTCGGAGTAACTGTAAGCGTAACTTATGGTACTCCTTATAGAGTGTTCTAATATTGCTATTCAGGCTTCATATACTCATATATCCAAATACGCTGCTAGTCTTTGCTGCCCAAGCTTTGCTGTAACACTACCATAGGAGGTGATATTCAGGCAGTTGAGTCTGAACCTAAAGTTCTTAACACTGCTTTCCAATGTACAAGATCCTAGAAAGTAAGAAATTCTTATTAATTCAAAAATTTCTTGCATTTCCTTTAGCAGTATTATAGCATAATTTTGTACCAGTCATATTTATAATTTGCAATACTTAAGAGCTCAGTCTGTTTAGTTTGATCAGAAGAGGATCAGAGGTGTCATGCCTGTGTGATAGAAAACCCTTTATGACATTGGAAATACTAAGTAATAAACCATCTTTTGTCTTGTGGATGAGCATAAAAACTTGGAGCTAAAGCCTCGGTTGCCTAGATTGGTGCATGTGAGATTTCATTGCTGGAGGCATTTCTAAGAGGGCCATGACCTGAGACTAGTCTTGCCTGACCAGAGCCCTTGGGCACTACTGAAGTCCTTGAATTTTCCATCAGATTTTGACAAAACCAGACAGTGAGCCAAAGGTACCATCAGTTGCATTTTAGCTTCCTCCTCCTGTCAAGGAGGGTTCTGCTAGAGATAGCTCACAAACAGGTCTACTCAAAATCTGTGAAGAGCTAAGTTGTGCATGTCCCAAGTATTTTATGAGGTCATAGGATTTAGCTGTTTGATAGGGGTTGGACTCTGGGTTCTTGGGACTCTGTTTTAAGGATAACATGTAAATAAGAAAGATTCCGGCTTGTATCCCTCTGTTTTAAATAAGATGTGTATTCTCCAAATGAGAATCTCTGTTCTGAGTCTAGAACTGGAAATAAATCAATATATGAAAGAAGTGTTTTATCT